TTCCCTTTGCTACACACATCCCTTGCATTACATACTAGCGCACGATGCATTTAAGCGTGTGTCCTGCATTTGTGACCCTTATGGAAAACCTAAACAGCATCAAGTCTGCACCATGGGTAATCAAGCCTGTAAGTGAGTTTGAACTACTTATGACATCAGTTGAAGACAAGTGCTTAACTTTTGTTGCTATACTTTTCATCATGATTTTGTTGTGACTCCAAGACTTCAGTCTTTACAAGCGTCTCCAGAGACTGAACAGGCAGTCACTGGTAAACATGGGCACCTGGCTGTGTCTGCCTCTGCCTCCCAAACCACCGAGAGCTCAGTGCTTTGCACCCTCAGCCAGCAGCAACCTAATCCATGATGCCAGTCTCTGTCCCCATAGGACAGCTTGTGGGGCAGTTTCTTTCTCAGCCCTAAGAGAGTTTCACGCAGATATCCTCTATCTGCTTGAAAGCCCACTCCCACTCCCACATCTCAAGGAAGCCAAATCACACAGGTGGGACCTGAACCAGCAGCCATCTCTGGAAACAGAAGAAGGTACAAGGTCAATGCCCAGGACAGCATCACAGTAGGCGCAACACAGGAGTCATTAAAAACAGCTGAGGAAACCAAGCAAGCAAAAACATTTCTAAAAAGTGCTTTGGACAGTGCCCTGCTGCCCACAAGCCCTACTGCCCTGTTGGAGGGACCTCCAAGAAGTCCCAAGGAGAAATGAAGACCTCATTTGGTCAGCTAAGGCACATGGTGCACCCTCCATATGGCGTGCAACTCTTAAAATATTGTTGTTACCTGAAAGATGCCTTGAGTAGCAGGACCACCCCTCAAGGGTGTGCCAGGTGAGTCCTGCAGTCAACCTCTAAAGCCAGCAAGGCGTAAGAGGAAGCTGAAGGGCCCCACATGCTGCATTTTGCAGCAGCAGCATGAACCAAATGACAAATGAAGAGGTGAGATGGAGAGGGACTCCACAGCGCACAACGCGGGGCAAAAAGACAAGAAGGCTGCTTCAGTCATTTCCAAGTTAGAGAACGGTGCAAGACCAAAGGTCTCAGCTCAGCAAAGAATTTAAGCCCCGGCTGAAAGCAACTCTCTCTCCCCTGCCAGCATGGTCTGAAGAGCAGAGCTGCAGCAAACACTTGTCTTTTCCTGCTGTAAACATGCCGTTATGCTCTCAGCATCAGGAAAGCCACACACACAGACACACAACAAGCATCCTTCCCCACACAGCGGTTCCCTCCAGCACTGGCACATTTCTTTCTCTCCATTCACTACACTTCCCTGAACAGCACTTACAAGGAAAGCTCTATTTTAAGCACCTGCTTCAGCGAATAGAGAATTAAAGAGCCATACGTTGTTAGATCTCAGTTATCTCACACACACTCCTGCACACGTTAAGGATTTCACAGCAGCATAATATCACTGGCAGCACAAGGCTGTTCCATCTACGGCCTACAGAACTGTAACACCAGTTCTGCCAGCCACACACAGCATGATCTCTAACTGTCCAATTCTGATGCTATTTTAACACTCTACAACAAGGTATGTAAAAACTGTACAAGGGGCTTTGTACATTTACTGCTCTTTTGGAAAATATCCAGGGACTTCAACTTTATCCTGGGTCCACTCCTGGAATACATGTCCTCTTTTCAAAATAACTTACTGGGGAACCCTGTGGCTGGTAAAACTCCCTAACAGAGAACGTCCCTCTGATAAATGCACATACCCACAGGTTGCTTGGCAAGATCTCACTTTTAAAACGCACCGAACTACAAAACTGCACATTCCAAAGCACTGTTCCACTGCTTCATGATGCAGGGCCAGTTCACCCAGTCCAGGGGTGACTTTCCAAGGTGTTTTACAAGACGTTTATCTCCACAGTACTTTGCTAACAGTGACAGTATCACGGCACACACTCAAGAGTTTGGATCCACACATCCCCTGAAATGACCACTTCCCCTAAACGTGTTTGTTATTTCTAAGGTACTCAACAGGACTTCCAATGTCAGGAGCGGGAAAAAGACTCCCGCTGCAAGACACAGCAGGGTGAGAAGAAAACATCTATGCTTAAGCCTTTGAACTCAGAGTCACTGCATAAATGCCAGAGAATAAGCAACAGATTTTCTGCCCTGCAGACACGGGCAATTTCGGGTAAAGCCGAATGCAAGCACAAAGCTGATTTCTTCCCATGCCACAAAACCCTCC